GTGCTGTATGTCAAACAGTTTTCTCTCCCTCCAAAGAACACGTTTTGTTTTTCTGTCGCGCAGTTTAGAAAACTCCTAGCAAATCTGACACCAAGCACACAAACACACACATCTTCCCGATTGACTTTATCGCATGCATGTTGCACGCAATCGTTCATTTCGTGTTTCTTCTTTCGCTTGATTGCGTGCAGACATTCCCTATGTGACCCGTTCGATTGCAAATGAGGCGGGTGTTTCGTTACCCGAGCAGTTCAGAGTGTTCAACTTTTTTAACGACCAAACTCTCAGTCAAGTCTGTTTGAGGTGAGTGCGTGCGTGCGTGCGTGCAGGCCACAACAGGTTCTTTCTCAGATCGCTGTTGTTGACTCCGTCCGTTTTGGGTTTCATGTACGAACTGGTTACTGGTAGACGCAATTTGCCATTCTGCTGCACTGCTATCAGTTTTATTATTATTTGAACAAAATTAGATAGCTTAAATTAAATAGAAGAAAGAGAGCATATTTGGTATGCGTTCAAATGAGTAACTGTGATGAGATATCTACTCGTTCCGAAATCCAGTTCTATGGTAACACCTGCGAAGGACTGCGAAAATAACGAGATTATAGCCTTATTCAGGCAGATTTCAGTGACTCCGGAAAAAGCTTGTATATATGTTGTTTTAGAAGCTTATAAGGTGCCCTTCAGGGAATCATCAGACCTCTCAACACCATTGTGAAGCTCAGCTGGCATAGCATACATTGCGTGGAAGTTACCATAAGCGGGAGTTGCTTCTCCAAGCTAGGCGTCTGCATCAAGACCGAGAGAAGACGTATGCGTCGTGAGATGGTAACATTTTGTTTAATCTTCTCAAACGCTGACGTAAAACCAACAAGCACATTTATAGCATATTGGATTTGTAAATCCTTGTGAATGAACATGTACAACAGTTAGATAGGGGCTATTAGAATTAAAAATAACAGGTCAACTCTATGAAAAGTGAGGAGATCAACAACTTTTGGACGCAGAGAACGGGATTATGTAATCCGTTTAGCAACGCCTCACTTATTGTCAACAGTTTTGCATTGCAGTTACGTAACAACGATTTGAAGCTTTTTTGTTTTACGTCATGGACTAAGAAGATTAAACGAAATGTGAACATCTCGCGATGTATGTCTTCTTCCAGTCTTGATACGATAGATAAAGGGGACCCAATGTTTCAAATTTCTAGGCATATGCGTCAAGAATCTACGCAGGGCTTCTCAGTCATATGTCCAAAGTGTTAAGTGTTAGTTGATACGTAACCTGAATTACGAATTAGTCAGTGACCCATCAAGACAACGAGTTCTTTGGTTCTGTCTGGCCCACTGAACGAATAACAGTAGATCATATAGAAATATGGCCGTGGGTTGCATGAAGAAGTCGATTTTGCGAAAAAGCTCGTTTTCGTTAATTTATACAATATATTTAAATAATTAAATTACATAAACGACTTGCCTCTGGTTATATCACTCTAGTTTGCTTATGTGATCGGTGATTGTGTAGACGAGTCCGAGTGATGCGATCATACTGAGAATGTGTTTGGTTTTATTCACTGGACTCTCGGTTACATACATAAATTAATAAAATGTATTTTTACTTCCTTTTTAATTTATTAAATATACAAATGTACAGTCAACTTTCAGGAAGGGGGCTGAGGCCATACAAAGGCTGCCCATTTCTGTATGCCTTTGTATCAGTTATACATAGTTTAGGTAGTTCCACAATTCTCCTAAAAGACCACTTTTGGCTTCGTGGTTGAAGCCTTTCAGTTTTAGTTTATATATACATTGGTATCCAGCGGGCAAATCTGCTCTCGATGTTTGTGTTTGACGACTACACAAATATTCCGCTTTTTAGTCTCTTTATGTGAAAACCACAATTACAGTTTTGTTTCGGACGATGCTCACTCACCCTATGAAACCTACTGGACAAGTTACCCGACCAAGAGACGCAGGCGGACAAAGGTAAATAAAATTGTCCTAGAAACACACCCACGTACGTACCGTTGTCGCAGAGTGGCTTCCACTCTTTCTCTCTCTCGTTCATCAGTTTGAGTAAACGGGTATTCGATATACGAGAGTAACAGGCGCATTTCGATAAAAGACATCTCATTGTTTAAAGCGTTTCTTTTCTACAAGCGTGCGCGCGCACATACACACACAGAGGAACAAAGTACATCGAAATAGAGCCCACGCAAAGTCCTGGAATGATCGTGCAATTTGGGATGAGGAAGTGTGTTTCAAATCGTGCGCGCATCAAACAAGGTTCAAAGCTGGTGGTTTGAATGATATGGGGCATGGGGCATTGAGCGAACGACAGAGAGTATGAGATCGAATCAGAACAGAACTTGTGAAATTCAAATTGTGCTCCCTCCCCGCCCCACCCTTGGGTCGGTGTGTGTGTGTGTGTGTGTGTGTGTGTGTGTGTGTGTGTGCATGGGCAGTGAAGCAAGAACATACTAGCAAGCGAGATTGAGAAAATAACACTTGTGTTTGTGGCAGACGGGGAACCAGCATCCCGTCTGAACTCAAATATCACTCATGCAAGTTCGTAAATGTTTCAGCAATGCGAGAAGTAAATATACCGTGCACTGTTCAGAAGGAAAAGGCATCATCCACGGAAAGATTACTCGCACGCGATAATAAACTGGCGCAAATAGGAACTCATTATTTATTCTCCTATTCCGAGCAATTTGAAACAGGAAAATGAAAAATCAATAATATTCCCACAGTCAAAGGTCACTTGTTTACCGATTTTTCAAAGTATCATCAGTTTCTGACAGATTCCAACCCCATACACACTTAGCTCATCTATGTCTTTTGCACATTGAACGCTCTATCGGTAGAACTGGGGCAGTGAGCACACTGTCCGTATGTTTTCACAGTTGTCCGCGCGCCGACCAAAGGGAGTATACGAACACATTGTAAGCTCTTCTTGTCAACACGTTCCCGGTAAAAATCCGCCGCGGGGGGAGGGTGCGAACAGTTTTAAAGCTCAGTTCAACAGATTAGCAGATGACTAAAGTGGGAATGCGAAGAATTACTCTTCAATATTTCGCTTCAGGTATTTACATGTGTATAATTTAATTAACCAATAGGCCTAAGCTGGTTTTGAGTATGTGTGTGTGTGTGTAGGTGTGTATTCTGCTGAAAGCAAGCTATGGGGTCAAGATAAATGAATAGGAAAATTATTACTACCATTATTATAGTTATTCTATTGATTAATAAAATGTTTGCATCGGTATATAGAAAAGAAATTTACTCACATTTCTTTTTGTTCACTTTTGTATCAATGGGAATATTTTACGACCTCAGAGACATTAATTTGTATACGATTGCTACACTTGTCTACGGAGAACATTTTAGTTCTTCAATGAGTGCTACCGACAATCGAAATGTGTGTTGTTGACGTAACAACGGATCATTGTCTTCTTGCACTATCTGAGGATTCCGATCTGAAGCAGAATTTTGTCGTTCTTTTCTCCCTCCTCTACCGGTCCCATGGGGATTTTCGATTGACTTCTGAGCATCTGAAAAGCAATCTCATGCACGCCAATGTGTTTTTGGTGTGTGTGTGCCTTTGTGTGTGTGTGATAACAATTTTACCTTGTATGTGATTCCAAAAACCGATATGTTGTGTGCCTTTTTCATTGATTGTTATTCTGTTGCATGCACTCCCCGACGTGGAAGATTCCCGATTAATCACGAGCAGAGTTTTTATTCTTGTACGACACACATTCATTCACGAGATCGCGTAGCCACGGTCACTGACACTGTAGTACTTAATTCGCCAAATCGGATGTTGCTCAGACAATTTTCAAGAGGGGGTTAACATGACAAGCTGAACCGAATGGGGGATTAAAAAATATTACTTGATTCCCACGAAAAACAGTTATCCATTCATGTGAGTAATGCAGTGTTTGATTCAATTTCAATTTCACCGTGTTTATAAAAATGAAGCGTGAAACGAAAGGAAGCACTGGAGGGCTGTTTCGACCTGATTGGGTCGCATCAGCAGTGCGAATAGACCCATAGACCCAACTGGGAATCGAACCCGGGACCTCATTGGCAGAACGCAAGTGCAATACCCACTCGGTCACCGGGCAGCTGATCAGACCGTTTTTCATTTTAAAATTACACGATATAGCGCAACCCATCTTTGCGAGCTTGTTGCGGGCCGCAGAACTCGCTCATCGCTGTATCGAGTGAATGGAAAATGAAAAGCGGTCTGATCAGCTGCCCGGTGACCGAGTGGGTAGTATGCTTGCGTTGTGCCTGTGAGGTACCGGGTTTGATCCCCAGTTGGGTCTATGGATTCGCACAGCTGATGAAACCCAACCAAGTCGAAACAGCTGTCCAGTGCTTCCTAGCTTTTCGGTTCACGCTCCATCGGCCATAAACACGATGCATTTCCACTTTAGAAATATTCATTCGCC